TGTGCCAAGGTGCATTGAGGTGAATGCTGTAGATCTTGTACCACGACTATTTGTGTCCATTATTAACTTAATTGCCTAGGCAAACGGTGCGGTAACCGATCAGATGACCGCTAAATAACGTCATACACAGGAATGCATCGGTATGAGAATCACATTACTGTAAACGTGATATCATGCAGTCGGCAGTTTAATACATGCATTTTTAAGTTACAATATAAACTACCATCTAAAAAGAATCACTTTTTAGTCCATTCGTATTTTTAGGTGAACATGTCAGTAATCCTCCTACCCCCAGGCCAGACCTACCAGTGTGTGTTTGATACCACAGCTGTCAGTGCCACAGTCACTGGGGGGAACTTGGTGACATGTGACACACCCACCAGCTTACCTACCATATCAATTGGAGACGGTTAGGAGTTTTGTGATACATATACATATTACATATATATCATATCAACAAAATATCCAACACAATCGTATCCCTTAATACATAACTCAATTTGTTGTAGTTCCCACACATTTATGATATAATGCAATTGTAAAGTAACTACTTCTGGTTACACTATGAATATTAATTTTAATGCAACTCTTGAACATCTTTTTTTATATTATATTGTTGTTCATGTCTTCATTACAAATATGTAAGATCAGTATTATAAATGTATCATCCAACTTTTAGTTGAAGCAATAGTGCAATGCTTTCTTTTTCTTCTTCTTATTTTTATTTAAACAAGACACTGTCAGATATAATTTTGATACATAATTTTGTACCACATTGTTGGAACATATTTGTTTTTTAGAAATATATTTTATAAAATATATTTGGATCCCTCGCTGAAGAAAGTACTACTTTTATTTCAGACCACATCACAATTCCCTTATCTATCAAATCAGTAACGACGGGAGTCAGGTTTTTAACTACCAACTTCTCATATTTTGACTGCGGCGCTCACTCAGGGTAACTAGTTTTCATTGCAATCTGTGTGCTCATTAGATTCGCTCAAAAGAAATCGAAGTATGGTTAAGGTTTCGCATTAACATATTGTTTATATTTATATCAACAATAAAATGTCAATTCAATTGAAAAAAATTGATCCATCCATACTAGAAGGGGAGCTTATAATTGAAAAAAAAAAAAAAAAAAAGGAATTTGGCTTTTAGTCCATGATTTTTTATCTGTTTTTTTTTCGGGCCACTCTTTATATGTATTAATTGCCAGGTGTGTGTCCTGCACCAGCAGTAGTTGGGCCTGTGACTGGTGTATATATGCTAACACGTGTATGTATGTATTATTACTGTAGGTGTGTGTCCTGTACCAGCAGTAGTTGGGCCTGTGACTGGTGTATATATGCTAACACGTGTATGTATGTATTATTACTGTAGGTGTGTGTCCTGTACCAGTAGTAGTTGGGCCTGTGACTGGTGTATATATGCTAACACGTGTATGTATGTATTATTACTGTAGGTGTGTGTCCTGTACCAGTAGTAGTTGGGCCTGTGACTGGTGTATATATGCAAACAGGTGCACCCACGCCAGCAGTACTTGTAGTCCTAGTGGAGGGGTGATACCAGGACAGAATGTACGTTCAATTATTTTTTTATTAGTCCGTGTGTACCCCTTTTCTTCAAAAACTAGATAAAGCCAGAAAATATATCGGGTCACTGAAGCAATTTCTCATGTTAGTGACATGTGAAACACTGCTACTGAAACTAGAAATGAATATTATCTTGTTTACGCACAATTTTTAATGTCGGTTTTCAAGAACAGAAATAATTTTGCGGATAAGTAATAGTGCTGTCTTCCTTCGTACATTTCAGAGCCATGCCAATGTGGATATTAAAGGTCCCACCATGTGTCCCCAGCTCCTGCCACGTGCACATGACGTCCTGTTACCTGCTGGTGTCACCAAGGTGATCTCGCTGATTGCGAAGAACCTACCTGTGCCACTGGTAAAGTTCTCTTAAATGTGATTCTGAATCACGTTATCGTTCCTTATATGTTCAAAAAGGAATACATTCTTTTTACTTATGTTTTTTTTTTGCGACAGAGAACCTCGTGATTATGGGAAGATATATTGTGGTTTGGCATTATTACAATAAAGCACGAATTCATTTTCAAATCAGTTTCAATAAAAAAGACTGACATAAACCAGACATTCACACTCCTAACAGCTTTTTTTATAAGTTCTGTTGTGCTCTGCAATTATTTTGCTTGTTCCTGACCTTGCCTCAACGTCATTCCAGGCTGGCCAAGGTGGTTATCTATGTAAGATAGGCACTAACACAGTCCGAGCTATCAGACAGAATGATAGTGCAATAGACTGCCAGAACCACGCTGTGAGTAGATATCACATACAAACATATTACGATATAGTGAACATTCAGTTTGTTCCTTAAAGGCCAACTTATATCAGATTCTGCTTTACCGTATCATAAGACCATCAGATCTAAGAGAAGACCAAGTTATAAGTGTGTAAACTAGTCATATATTGAAACATGTTAGTCTAAAATTTTGCCTGTTGCTGTTCTTTTCTAAACAGGCAGATTGTGATAAAGTAGGAAGTATCCTGATATTTACTCCAAGTATATTATTATTAATTAAGAAGTAATATTTACAGTAAGAAGATAATATAGAATAGGATGATATATTTTTCCAAGATAAAGACAGTTGGTCTGCAATTTGATCTCCGTTGATTTTTTTTTGTTTATTATAATCGTTATTATTAAATCAGATGTTTGGTTGTATTTAACGGGGTTTTCCGTTCATTATTCCAGTTTATATACACAGCCAATACAGGCCAGGAAAAACACAAAATCCAAGTGATCTGGAACAATAACCATATAATTGATCAACCGACCGGCTCTCAAGTCAGTGGTATGTATTGTTAACCAAACCAGTTCTACTTCTTTTTTTTCTCTCAATCTTTTCATTTAGTAGATGTTAAGGTTGGAATGTAAAAATGCCTAAATATATTATCTTACTTTCTCAGAAAGAATTATACGACCTGTTTCTCAAAAGAGGAAGTATGTGGTTTCACATGCGAAGATATTTTGCAAGAGATATTTTGTTGGCAGTTTACTTGTATTATTGTTTTAAAATTATTTTCATGGTTACAGCTGTGTACAACACAATTGTAACATTGTTGGGCAGTATTTATGATATATTATTTGAATAGGTAATGCCACAATAATGCCACTGTTATTTCAGCCACCCTGTACAGATGTTTTGCAAGTCAAGTGTTTTGTTGGTAGTTTACTGCTATTACTGTTTATTCTTTAAACTGTTACAACTAAAGCGTATGTACAACACAAATGTAACACTGTTGGGCAGTACATGTTAAGTAATTATGGTATACCATTACAGAATGATGTTACTGTTATTTCAGCCACCCTGTACAAATGTGATATCATGGGGACCACATGTGGCACATGTATTGGGGCTGTAGATGCAAAGTTTGGATGTGCTTTCTGCGGAGGGACGTGCAAGTATCGCCCAACATGTAGTGTGCCAGTTGAGAGCACTTGTCCTAATGTTATCATTAACTTGGTTAGTACTGTTATACATATAGTAAATTTCATGTTCTTGCCACCAGTCAGTCTGATACTTTATATCAAAATTTAGTTTTTGTATAGTAATTATCTTAGATTTCAAGTGTCACATGGATATGCTTTTCAATATGATAAGCCACAGCAAACATTTTTTCCTGAGACGTTTTATTTTTTGTCTTTAACAAACAGTTATAATGTATAACAGAAATTGGAACAGAGTAGAAAAGTTTATTAACATATTTGTCTATGAGTATGACAACCTTAAAAAGTATAAACAATGTCTTTCAGGTTTCTCCACTGAGTGCCCCAGTTGAAGGCCACACCAAGGTCACCATCAATGGCACCAATTTAGGCATCTCTGATGCCAGTATACCCACTGTTAGACTGGCTGAGGTGGCCTGTAGACCTGTTGTAGAAGATTATGTGGTTTCAAAAAGGTAAATAATTATATATCTAAACCTGTTCATTTCACTGTATTGTTGTCCAAAACTTACTCCTGTTAAAGAAAATTAGAAATATGTAACAAGCGCATGTCAATTTATTAATGGTTTCTTAGATGTTTTAGTGGCATAGAGCTTAAATGGCTATTGTGATTGGCAGAATTGTAAGATTTTACTTATAGGAAGTTTTGTTTTGCTTTCAGTTGGAAATCCATTTTAATGGCTTTTTCCACCTTATGTGTCCACCAGACTCCAGTAACTGTTGTGACCACAGTATAATTTCTTCCACTGTTTTATTTCCCAAAATCATGTCTGTGTTTTTTTAGCATTGTGTGTACGGCAGGGGAAGCTCCAGGCAGGTTGGCCAGGAATGGTTCCATAGAGGTCCAGGTCCAGGGTTTGGGCAAAATATACCGTTACTCCAATATATTCAGATATGTGGTGAGTACTTTTTCTAAAGAGAACTATCACCACATCACTGATGTTGATGGAAATATGGAATAACAGCTAAATGATACAACTGCTCCAAACAATTCAGATATGCAGTGCGTAAGTGTTTTGAAATACAGCTATATCCACATCACTCCTCTTGATGGGAATGTGTAATGACAAATACTGGTGGTAGAATATTACATTTGGAACATTATATTAAATTAATGCATTTTCATGATATTTTGCCAATTCATAACTGATAATGGTGTGATAAGATTTATGCAATGTTATGCAGTGCAATGTTTTTAACTTAGGGATAACGGCTCCCTATTTGAGTTTTAAAATTCCATAATAAATACAATGTTAACAATGCATAGCGATATATTAAATTCAATCCGTTTTTGTCACTTTTCCCTTCAAAAAAGATGTTATCTCATTAATTGCCCCTTTCAGGACCCCAAGCTGGAGACAGTGTTCCCAGTGAAAGGCCCCATGTCTGGTGGTACCAGGCTGACTGTGAGGGGGAAAGATCTTAATGCTGGGAACCTGGAAAATATCAGCCTTATCCTTGGAGAGGAAATGTTGCCTTGTAATGTAGATAGGTAAGGATACTTCGTAGACTGTTTGCATCAATCTTTAATTTTTTTTACTAAATGTGTTTTAAAAAGTTGCTGGACTAAATAAAAATATAAAAAATCGGGACTTTAAATTGAGGATGTTTGACTTAATTACCCTGATAAATATCCGCTGTTTTCTTTTGAAAATGAAATACTGCTTTTGGTTAGACAGGGTAACATGGGATATTTTAAAAACAGTTATTGCAAGGAAACATTTAATTAATGAACTTAAAGAGCATGATAGTGGCTCAACTGATCAAAATAAACATTCCACAGCCAATATAAATTGTGTGTGTGTGTGTGTGTTTGTGTGTGTGTGTGTGTGTGTGTAAATATTATACAAAATGGAAGAAAAAGCAAGAAACAAAACCATGGAAATTCAGTTTATTTTGATCGACATAAACTTTATGTAATTTCCAGAAGCACAATTGACAGCCATTCCGCCATTTGTACCACTCCAGGGGTCAGTAGGCCAAATGTCGTGACCTCTGTCAGGATGTTTTTTGATGGCAGTGTCAGAATGTTGGATCAGGACCCCTTCACATACACTGAGGACCCTGTTGTGGACAAGATAATGCCACTAACCAGCTTCGCCAGGTAACGTACAGTAAATGATGCCCGGATGTGGTGAGAAGTGTACTGAAAGAAAATCCAGGGCCATTTTTATAATTTTTGTAATGCTGGCCTTTCGACCAAAATTATGAATTTTAAATACGGAGTATATGGATATTACTGCAAAAGTGTGCGTTTTTAGTAACAATATGTTCAATATTATTCAGCGGAGGACGGATGTTGACAGTCACTGGAAAGTATTTTGACTCAATTCAACAGCCAAAGATGTTTGCGTGGAGCGGAAAGGAAAAGTCGCACACAACGGTAAGGGGGAGGCAATACTAAAATGTGCGTATGGTGATAGGTCCTTTAATGATCAGAATGAAGAAAGGGAAACCTGTACCTTCCAAGTTATTTTCCTACTTTATACGGACGTAATTTAAATTATTTAACTTTGGTTTATCCTTCGTTGCTTTGCATATAATGCACATTTCTTTTTGTTAGGATTGTCTCCATATACCAGGAATGTCCAGTACCACATTAACATGTCCATCGCCAAGATCACCTAACGAGATTCATCCAACGATACCAGACACTTCAGGTTCCTTGCGCTTTAAGAGGCAGATGGACACCAATACTATCGCGAAGATTGGCTTTATAATGGACGGAGTGGTGGCAGTGCAGAATTTAACAAACGTAACTTCTACTCTTCATTATGTTGCAGACCCGTTGTTCCAAAATTTGACCAGCGACGGATCTAGTGTGAAATATCAAAGTAACACTAGCTTCGTAATACGTGTGAGCCAATCTTTTTCAAGAAAAAACAACAAAAATAGAATAAAATAGAATATAATAAAATGAAATACATATATAAATATAAACATAAATTAATGGAACATTAATATTTAAAAACATACAGGAGTTTCTTACAATCAGTGCCTAGTTCCTAAACCTATTTAACCATAATTAATTAAGGCCAAGCTATGACCAACCCAAAGAGGACTACCCGGTTAAATCTGCAAATTGTGCAATGCAGCAGTCTTACAGTCTTGGAAGTCAGTTTAGTGGTAGCCACACACCTGACTTCAAACTTCTCTATTCACTTATCTGATGTAAGATATGTGTTAAAAAGAATGCACAGTATGTTGGTATACCTTTGACATTGAAATATTCCATATTCATAAATGTCGAGTCTGTACAATCAGTGCATAATTCCTGAACCCATTTAATCACAGTAAAAGCTCCTTATATGATGCGATTATAACATATTTGCATAAAACTCATCATCGTTCGACAGGGACATTATCTTAACCTTGCCGCAAGTGAAGCAGATGTGACTGTTCTGATTGGTGGGCATAACTGTGACGTCACGGGTTTGGCTCCCAGTGTTCTCGTCTGCACACCGCCACATTTTGACTTCGGAGATAAACTGGTGACTGTAAGCATTCCATTATAAATCTTCATTTGTTTGCTTGTTTGGAATGTTTTTTATACATGATACAGGGTGTCTGTTGCCTAACCAACAAGGTAAACAATAGTGCTATATCAAAATTGCTTTTGTTAATTGAACGAACATTTAAAGATGCATACAAAGTCAATTTTTTGTCACAAAAACCAACCAAATGCCAGCATATAGTTATCAGTAGTATAACTAAGAGAATTACCAAAAGGCATTGTTTAATTTTACCTGAAAATGATGTTTGAACGGATTTTTCTGCTGGCATTCTAAGCTGTATGTCAATGGGGCAGGAAAGTAGGTCACGAAAGTAGGTTAAATTTACAACCAAAAATTTAAAGAAAGGAGCAGTCTAAAGGTCTTTTATGGCTGATCGAGTGATCTATTCAGTTTATCCCTTGGTATGTCAAATTTATTTGAGTCATATAAGAATCTAGTAGAAATGGTTTACATGTGTTACTGGGAATCCACGCTCCACCGATGCTCGGTTCGTATGTACCTTTAAAGAACACAACTCTCTAAGTAAAATGTATATTAAGTTGCCTTGCTAGGTTACTCAATGGTAATTTACCTATGCATAAGTTATTAAGTTAATTCTTGCAAATACATTGTTGGTAGTCACTGTGAACTTATTCCACAGAATACAGTAGTGTATGTTATTGGAATGTATTTATTCTCTTCAGATACGTATGGGTAATTTATTGTACCAAGTGGGATATCTAAACTATGGGGATCCTCCTGTGGGTCATCCTCCAGTCAACTATGGTTGGGTATCCGGGCTAATTGTCCCCATTATTACTCTATCTGTCATTGGAATCGTAACCGGAGTCATACTGTATAAAAGACGTGCAAAACGCGCTACCACCAATCACAAAGGCGCCAATGACACGGAGTACCTCGGTTTAAGCAGTCAGTTCACACCACCGTGTGTTATCAACACTATAGAGGACGCCTTGATGCTGGTAAAAGATGTCGACTTAAAGGTTGCTCTAAAGCCTGTACTAATGAGCAGAGACCGGATTAAAATTGGGAAGTTAATTGGCACAGGTGCGTTAATGACCATCGAGTTACAAAAATGTTATTGTGCATTGAAATCTCACTCTGGGATCTTATTTCCCCATTAATGCGACAAGACTTGTGCTTCAGCATATGCCCGCGATCAAAGCTATAGTCACGTACACGTGCTTTTGTGGCGGTCTGGTTAGTATATATCTTATAAAACCACAATAGAATAAACATATACTGGAGAGGGAGTAACACATTTTTATATACTAATAACGTTTATTTGTTTGTTTCAGGGCACTTCGGTTGTGTATTTGAAGCAGTTTACGAAGACAGCGAACATTACAACCCTTCAAAAGTAGCCGTGAAAACGTTTCAAGGTACATGCTGAAAAGTGCTTGATCATTATCTTGCACTTAATACTTGAATAGGATTAATGAATATATGTCTGTTTATAATGCTTTGTCAATTATATGTTGTCTATTTCTATAAGAAAGCATTTCTTTGCCAAAACTTATATTCACAATGTTATTGATGATTGTGCTTAAATGAATACATACTGAAACACATATTGACAGTACCCACACCCATACCAACGGAACATTTGCAAAAAAATTATATCTGCACGAGGTTTATGCATTCAATACATAACGACACATTCCCTGCAGGAAAGGGTGCAGATATTCAACATCTAGATGAATTCCTCAGAGAAGGAGCTCTGATGACGTCATTTCGCCATGATCACGTGTTGACAATACTCGGGATATGCTTCGAAGTTGACGGCAACCCCATGATTGTATTACCGTACATGGCCAATGGAGATCTCAAAACTTACATCGAGAATCCTAAGAACGTGCGTAAGAAATGTTGTTGTGAGTTTGGGAAAATTCATAATTGTTCAAGATCAGACTGGTCATGCTATTAAACTCATAGATCTAATAGTTTACTGGAAAACATTCAAGAAGATAAAGTGAAGTGTTTGTAATATCATTGTTTAGAAATAAATTCAGACATACTGAAATCGTTGGTACGATCCTGAGTTAATTGCAATTTAAAGCCCATTATGACATATTGTTTATTCATACTATTGAAAGCATGTATATTATGTTACGTTAGGCACCTACTGGACTACAGCTGCTGCAGTTTGGTTTGGACGTAGCCCGGGGGATGGAATATCTTGCTGAGAACAAATTTGTCCATCGGGATTTGGCTGCTAGAAACTGCATGTGAGTATTGTTATCTGTCCTAAAAGAACAGATAATCTTAATAAAGGGTAAATTACACAATACCTTTTTTTTGCTTTGAGGGGGGATTCTAGAGGAATAGGCGTTCCTCTTGAGGAGCAGGTGTTTCCATAGACAAAACGGGAGAAGATCGCCTTTCCGTTGAGATTTTCAAACTTTGAGTGTTTTAAAGTCAGTAACTAATACTGTAGACTCAGGCACACTTGAAATACACAGTATTAGGTAGTATTTGTGAGTATTATATGCCAAGCAAATGATCAACCAAATCTAGAAGAGTAAAGACATTGTCAGTTAGCAAGAGAAAGTTGACGATTGTATGGCAATCATTGGTGATAAAAAAACTAACCCAGCATTGCTATGGTTTAGGCTAGATGACCAGCTGCGCGCCAAAGTGGCCGATTTTGGACTGACTCGTGATGTGTATACCAAGGAATATTACAGCTCCAGAGACAAGCAGGCCAAGTTGCCGGTGAAATGGATGGCGCCAGAGTCCATGGAAAGGAACGTTTACACTTTTAGATCCGATGTGGTATGGGCATGCTGTTACATTTAGTTTTACTTCGGAATTTACTGCTTTTCCCATTATTATGCGGAATTGCAAAAAAAAAAAAAAAAAAATCAAATTTCTTCAAATTTTAAATTATTGACTGATATATGAATTAGAAAATAAAACAAATTAAAATAAAACACGTATTTTGAGATGTCAAATAATTATCAAGGAATGTGTTCTTTCGCTTTCTCGTGTTTTAGATGTACAATGTTTTATGTTATTTCTTTTATATTTGTTTCTCTGGGAAGCAAACATTTTAAATAGCAAACCCCTGAGGGTAAGGCATCAGAATATGGTGCCCATAATCGCCTTGCAAAAGCCGTTCCGACTTTTGGGATTATTTTAAATTTCCAATTTTCCATATAAATTATAATGATATTTGATTTGTATGCTATTTTAGGAGAGATAAACTATAAATGTCAAACCATTCTTGTTTTCAATATTTTTTGTTACCATTATATACATATTTCTGTTGTCTACAGTNGGCGTACTACTTTGGGAACTGTTCACTCGCGGTAAGGTACCGTATCCTGGTGTAGATGGATGGGATGTTCTACAGTTCCTTAAACTTGAAAGAAGATTGGACCAACCCGACTACTGTCCTCAGCAAGTGTAAGTCATGACTTACATCAATCCTGCGGGTATATACATCTACAATTAGTATGTACATATTTGTGGTCTGACATATAAGGCTTCGTTCACATGCAATGTCTATTTTCTAAATTCTATTTTCTATTCGCGCTATCTTATGATCACGGTCTGTGCACTGAATATCCCGCGGTGTAATTACTGGCAGCGCGAGCCAGTTACTTATAGTAACTTATAGTAACTGGCTCGCGCTGCCAGTAATTACGCGGCGGGATATTCAGTGCACAGACCGTGATCATAAGACATGCCGCAAATAGAAAATAGAATTTAGAAAATAGACATTGCATGTGAACGAAGCCTTAGTCTTAGATATAGGTATAAGGCCGTTATTTCTAATACGGTGTCAGTATATTTAATGTTATCATAAGAGGGTCTGAATTTCTCAATTCTCTTCTTTGATGCAAATTGTGCCTGCTTCTCCCTGTTGAATCAGTGCTTGTATCGGTGCTTAACAGTGCTAGTTGCACATGCACCTTACTGTGCATTTAGTTACGTACAGTATACATACTACAGATAGTATATTACCCAGGCGGATCTCGGAAAAGGGGGTCACACGGCCATTAGCCAAAACTTCATATATAGGCCCTGTCGAAGAGGTAGTAAAAGAAGCACTTTAGTTTTATTTACTTGGAATAGGGGTAGGGTAGCAATTTCTAATATCGGTCCAAATTATTGGGATTCCGTTTTTGCTGTCTTGATTGAATCCATTTTGTTCCTACCCTGTCATCTCTTCTATTCCAGGTACCAGCTCATGCTGAAGTGCTGGTCATGGGAGCCAGAGGAGCGACCAGACTTCACTTCTGTTGTAACACAAATAGAGGAGAGAGTGAGAGTCAACACGGAAGTTGGTAGAGAACCTGATCACAATGAACGTGGGGGAGGGGATGATGTTTATCATATGTACACCGAAGTGTTTTAGTTACAATGTAACATCTGTAAATAATTTACTCCAATCGATTTTTGGACAGTGCTTTTTATTTTATTTTTTTGCCATGAGAATGACTAAATATGGCTTTGGTACATTTTGTACCTGCGTATTTTATCTCAGCTGAACGTTTATTAATGACCTTCAAAATCAGTTGCGTGACCACACGGTTTCAAATAATATTGTAACTTCGAGAAATACCAAAATAATTCCTTTCATATTATCCGAAAAATGTTATTTGAACTGTTTTTCTGCTTGCTTCCTATGCTATATATATATATATATATATATATATATATATATATATATATATATATATAAATGGGACATATAAGTTGGTCAGCTGAGTAGGTTTTACAACCAAAAGTTTAAGGAAGGTGTAGTTTAAATTTTTTTTTATGGCTGATCAGTGTTTAATTCAGTTTATGCCTTGGTATGATTGTCAACTTCATTTGAATCGTACAAGAATCTTAAAGGAGTGGTTTATATATGTTACTGGGAACCTATGTTCCAACGTCGCTCGGTTCAAATGTACCTTTAACGCACTTCAATTTTCATGCATTATGGTGTACATGTACCCAAGATTTGGGTGACCGATAAATCGCTTTGTCTGTGTGTCCTC